TGTCGAGGTTTACACAGACGGCTCCGGCTCACAAGGACGATGTCACAAACACACCCCAGCCGGGTGGGGATATGTTATATTGGCGGAGGACGACGTGCTAGAAGAGTCTAGCGGGCCCGTTATAACTGACGACACGCACCCCTTTACGTTCGGCGCAAAAGTCGGCAGTAATAATACGGGAGAACTACAGGCCTGGATGGAAGCATGCGCTTACATAATCCGAGCCAATCCGCCAGCGGACGTCACGTTCTATTATGATAGCAAATGGATGGCGCAAATGGTACGCGGACAGGCTAGACCAAAAAGACATAAAGAAATGGTTCACTCCGCCAGATTACTCCGCCAACAACTCGAACAAACCACCCGTATCAGGTGGCAATGGGTTAAGGGACACAAAGGAAATACATACAATGAGCGCGCTGACGCGCTAGCGGAAACCGGTAAACTTTCGCACAAGGCCAAGGGAGGCAGATTTACGCAAAAATCTCCACTCCTTTTGGAAGACCTAACGCAAGACTCTACCCCAACGCAAGGCACGACTCAAAAACCCTGGCCACGGTAAAGGGGCCATGAGCCAAAGCTATTGGGGCCATGAGTTTTGACATATAGAACGACATTTTGCAACGTTGTTTCCCGATGTTTGTTTCAACATAAACAGCTTTCAAAGAGAATATTGGTGTGAACATGTGCCATAGCTAGCCTCGATTTCCCATGTTGTTTTCCATCTATAAAAGGGATTATCTGGTGTTGGAGCATGAAACCCATGTGATTTCTGTGAACCTCTCATGAAAGAAACGTTTTCTTACGCTTAGAAAACAGCTGTCGAATGAGTCGGTCCAAGAAGGCATGTCGGGGTCAGCTTTCTATTTGATCAAATCAAAACCGTAAGGTCATATGTTGGGTTCAACAAATAATATAAAGAAACCCGGTACATCGCAAACAACTTTAATACATATCTTTGGCATCCTAAATCTTTTCTAATTCAACGGAGTAATGTAAGATACTATCTTATTGCCGAGTCAAAATCTGTGTCGCACCACGAAAGCACTGGGACAGTGCATGGGTGCAGCATAAGCACTGAAAGCAGTGCACCAAAGCACTGGCAAAGTGCATCGCACTGAACAAGTGCAACAGCACTGAACAAGTGCACCAAAGCACTGAACAAGTGCAACAGCACTGAACAAGTGCACCAAAGCACTGAACAAGTGCAACAGCACTGAACAAGTGCAACAGCACTGAACCAGTGCAACAGTACTGGATAAGTGCACCACAGCACTGAACAAGTGCGACAGCACTGGAGAACAAGTGCCCATGCGACCAAGAGCATCGAACAGGTGCACCAACAGCACTGTGAAAGTGCTGGGGTGGAGGTCTGGATAGTTGGGATTCAGTTGGGGTTGCAAAGGTGTCGGCTTAATTTCTGCGGTGGGGTGAATGAGTGGGAGGTAGGGGAGAGGCGTTGGATTTCCCCCAGTTGGTTTTCGTGGGGTCAGGGCGGTCAGGGCTTCGGCTTCGATTTGATGTTAGTGCTGTCAGTGGTGGGGGGGGGTTGGGTCCAATCCCATGCTTGCCGAAAAGTGATGCAATGGATTAGCGCCGCCATAGTGCAACCCAATCAGCGGCACTGCGAAGTGCAGTCGTATTGAAGGAAGTGCACAGTGTGGATGCACCGAACAGGTGCACTTGCATTAACAGGTTCAATGATGGCACTGCAGAAGTGCAACTGACGAAAGGCATTGAGTAAATTCATCAAACCAAACACGTGCACTGAAAGAGTGCAAGAGCACTGAAGAAGTGCCTCGCACCCAGCACCCAACCCCGGAACTTCGGACCCTATCTGCCGCAGGACACTCCTTGATGTCGGTCAGCTGAAATTCGCGAAGTTCCTCGGCTGTGCTGGTCAATGTCAAGAGTCAACGTGCCCAAAGGTTCAGGGTGTGGCTGCACTTCTTCAGTGCCTTGTACTTCAAGCACAAGCCGTAGGATTTGTGGGATCGGTGAGGGGGATTTAGGGATCTATGTAATCCTTTGTATGGGGTGTTGCCTATGCCTATCTGTCTGATTTGCACTTCTTCAGTGCCCCCTGCTGCTAATTGTCCGGATTGCCACCCAGCCCAGCTGGCATGCTTCTTTTTCACTCCACAGCACGGAGTCGGGTCAAACGTTTCGCGGTGGGTCCTGCCAGCAGTCGTCTTCAAGATATGTGGGTATTTTCGGTGAACATTGACAATTGAAACACTCCTTCGGCTCGGCTGGTCGACGCAAATCCGGGCCAAAGACCTCGCACAAAGTTAAAACGTGTCTGCCTTGCTGAAACAAGACTCGGCGACAGTATGCTGGATGAGTGCCTGGGGCGGATTCGTCGGATGACGCTGTGGAGGCTGTTCCTTCAAACAAATCAGAATGATTTTAGCCACTCAGCCGCTACTCACTGCTGCTGTCCTCGTGCGACTTCGGAAGCGGCTCCGGCTCCAATGTAGTTCGCAGTCGTCCGGTCGCCGCCTTTTTTGCAAGAATCAACGAGCGGTGTAGCCGAACAAGGTCACAGCCAAGTTCATGGCTGGAAGTCTAGCATCTCCATGTTGGAGCCCAAATGTTGCCTGCACCTGCGTTGGATCTGAGGATGAGTCGGGAGTCACATGCTCACATCAATTAATTGTGTGCCCAATATAAGCGCCCCACCTTCACGGGGACGTCGTGTCTGGATGCTGCTGTCACTTCCACCTGCAGCTTATTGGCCCTCCTGACATTCTGAATCTAGCAGACAAGGCCCCCACCTTCGCGGTGACATCATTTCCACTGGGCGGCGGTGTTGCTGCTGTCGCCTGCAATGGAACTGATAGGGCACAAATAGCAATCGTGGCGAGAACTCAAGCCTCCCCCACTACTTTGAAGGCTTGGGCCCCCGGCCTTCACTTCATCAGGAACACTTGGGACCTGCAATGAAATTGATCGGGCCCCAGTATCAATCGTGGCGCATCACTAAGCCCCCCCACCTCGGGAAACATGGGCATCCGACAAGGTCCAAGAAAAGGAACGAAGGGCACAGGAGGAGGACCAGGAACCTAGGCATCATCAGCACTGGACTCTCCATCGAATGTAGCAGAGTCCGAACACGCTGAGGAGGGACTCTGCTTGGAGGTATCATTGGTATTCCCATGACCTTGCAAATCACTTTGTCCAGAATAGAATCTCTTTCAGTAACCGAATACAAGAACGATGTGACAAGCTCCTGGCTCGAGCACCTTCCATTGGCAGGTTGAAGGTCATGGGTCTTCGGATTGGCCGCTGGTCCTGCCGAGTATTTTTCTGAGAGCTTCCAATAATCTCGGAAAGCATCTGAGTAAAGGGGCCTGAGGAAGAAGCTGAGGATCTCCAGGAGGTCGCAGAAGCGGCATCGGGGGCATCGGAAATGGAGGAACCTAGGCAGGAAGGAAGCAGACCAGGCCTGAGGAGGAATTGTTTTGATCCGAGGACCGGGCTGGAGCCGGCCCGCCCCGTCGAAGCAACGACTCATTCAGCGAGCTCAGCACAGTAAGGCACTCTTTCGCCGCCTCATGCTCGTCCATGTACACCTGCTTCTGCAGCTCCTCCGCCTTCACTTCCTCCTGCAACCTGGAGCTCAGACTGGAGGACGCCTCGTTTTGCCACTCCTCCGCAGCCAGTTCCTCCTTCAACCTGGAGCCAAGACGCCCTGCCGTCAGAAGCCTCTGCTTGTTCGTGCGTTTTTTCGCAGCCTCCTCAGTCTCTTCTGCACGGCAGTTCATGAGCTCGGCACGGGTCTCTTCGAGCTCCGCCAGGGCACTGCGAGCCTCAGAAGCGAAGTTCTCCTGCCTGCCATCCGTGCGTCGCTGCTGGCTCCATCCTCTGTTTTGGCGACTCGAGTCACCCTTCTGGCCGCTCGTCCCTCGCCCTCGCTCACTGTCACCCTTTCCCTTGCCCTTTCCTTTAGGGCGGGTGTACGGGCCGCCCTGGTGACCCCGCTGACTCATCACTCCTCCATGCACCGGACAAGGCTTCCTAGAGCAGCTTATCTAGGGTGTGTGACTCTCTTAGTTGCTGAGTTGATAAGCCCCAAGAAGTGTGCACTTTCAGTTGGATATATTATCCCCAAAAGTGTAAAGTGTGCTCACTATTGCTCACTCAGCTACCAAGCTCTGCAACTTGAAATATGAACTATCTTCGGTCCAAAGTTGCACACTGCATAACTCCCTCTCGGGTTTGAGCAGTCACAGGCGCAGGCATGGTAATTAAGACTCCACCCATTGCCGTGCCATGCCCCCTGCAGACTGCACTCGTGTTGTAATTAACACATAACGAAGCTTGCTGTAGATGCTTCTTGCAGCCCAGGCTTCGCCATGGATGGCATCTCGACTCAAAGGCAGGACCTGCGGAGCTGTGCAATGAAAGGCTACTCTTTGATCTTAACCGTCTGCAAGGCGAAGTTGGTCTGAGACTGCTTCTTGGGTCCATGGCTCAGCAACAGAGACGTCGTTTGGCCTGGAGTGGAAGAGTAGCCTGGTTTTTTAGCCTGGGAGTCCGCCTTTCACCCCGAAAGGTGGACTGCCTGTGTGCTTCTCACACACACCCCCCACACCCCGAAAGGACGACTCCGACGACCCGACACAGCCCGAAAGGCGGACGACTGCCGTGTGTGTTTCTCACACACCCACTCGACCCGACACTCACGCCCCGACCCCCGAATTAAGACGACACCCCCAAGCTTTGAAGACAAAGACCCCAGCACCGACATACTGAAATCGTGTCTATAGACAAAAGCCGGTACACCTGCACGTGAAACATAACATGAAACATGCACACAGAGAGGAGGTGCGCCACTTCAGTACCTTCTTTTGCACTTGTTCAGTGCATGAGCACTTCTTCAGTGCCTTCTTTCGCACTTGTTCAGTGCTTCGCTTGCTGTGGAAGCTCAATCTGCACTGGGCCTCCGGCACTAGATTCGAAGTGCCTGTGCACAGACCAGGCACCAGCTGCTGCAGATGGCGAAGTCTTCGATTGCATGCAAGGCAAAGAAGCAGACGGGGAAACAAAGGAAGAGTCGAAGCAACAAGCAGGGCCGCAAATTGGGCCAGGCCGCCACTCTACCGGGCAAACTCTGGACTGAGTGGCTGAAGCATTGCTTGGCTAATGCCCGATCGTGGCTATATGCTTTGCTTCTCATTTGCCACCTGCTTTGCTTGCGGGTGTCCGAGGGGTTGGCCTTGTCCGCGAGTGACTTCGATTTCAAGAGTTGCTCGGTGCTCATTAAGCCACTGAAGCGGCAGCCGGCTCTTCGGAAGCCTCTCTTGGCCGAAATGAAATCTATTCTGCTCCAGCTGAAGCAGAATGGGGTTTCGAAAAGGAGAAGTGAATTTCGGGGTTCCCAAGGCAAAATTACATTCCGCGACGCATGGACTTGGCCTAGATCCGGAGCACTATTTCCCTCGGAGAGGCCCGATGCCAAGTCTGACATTCGCAACAAGAACACCGTGGCCAAGACCATATCCCGCCTGCGAGGAAGCTTCACCTTGGCCACAGAGGGTGTTGTTCGCTCACACAGTGCAAGGCATTCGATGATCAATGCTCTGCGCATGAACGGTGTGCCGGATGACATATCCATGTATTACGCGAGGATTTCGGACAAGAAGGTCTTCTCCAAATATGGTCAAGTGACAAGTTTGCAAGCTTCATCCCTACTCAAGGCACAGAAAAGCTTTCGAGGGGCCGCTGCAGCCCAATATCAGTCTTTGCTGCCAAAGCGAAAGTCAACCCGAAAGACGAACCGAAAGTGAAGTATGCAGTCTCTCTCAACCTCGAGGCTACGGCACGGCATGAGGTTGCCAAGAAGTCAACCATCAGATTCCTGAGGCACTAGCAGCAGGTAGCAATTCTCCCTTTTACTTTTAAAAAGGCAGCGACGAAACCGTGGCTGTGGCTGAGGGCTGACCCCGTGGCAAACTCACACCTCACAGGCCAGGCCAATAGACCCCAAACCGCAAGCTGCTGAAAGCCTAGAGTGGACTCAAAACGATCAGCTGGGCACACAGCCTTCATAGTTCGAGTCGCAATTGCCTTACAGAGCAGAACTCACCAGAAGAAACCTGGAGTGCTGCACATGCGGCCTGTCGATCTTTTAGGCAGCAAGTCCATCTGAATCGAACCTGGAGACATGCGTACATTCTTCGAGGCTGCTCTAGAATCATCTGCTTGAAGCCTGCAAGCTCTGGCCCGACAGTTTCTGCCCAGGCCTTGAATCACGAGGCGACCATCATCGCTCATCTGTGGGTGAGCACCTTATGAATGTGTCCGCACACTACTTCTAAAGCACAGTCAATTTCACATGCCAGGGGTTAGTGCCAGGAGCACTCATTTTCTCTGCTGCAAGTTCATGCGTGTGCTTCGAGTCAGTTGGGCCCGCTGGTGGAAAACATGATGCCGGGCAGATGTTGTTGGGCCGCCCAAAATTTCCATCTCTGAGCCACTAAGCCAGCCAGAATATTTCGAACCTTGCACTGAAGTCTGTCTTTTCTGAGCTAGCTTCAAAATCGCTGAGAGCTGGAAGCACAGGCCGATCGAGCAGCTAGCAGGGTCTGCCAGCATCAGAGCTGTACGAAGCTCGCAGGTGGCACAGTGAAGCCTTTCTTCACCAGAACCACGGGACGCACCGGGCTCAGTCCTCGAAGCTCGGTCACCTTGACCTGCCATTTGATCGTGGTGTACTCGCCCTCCCACAGCTTCGTGTCAGTCATTGCAGCGATGGAATTTTGAAATCCCGATGGCTGTCGATCTTTCTCTTCTGGAACTTGGGGTGAGTAGCAGACCTTTGTAACCTCCCAGCGAAAGAAACTGTGTATTTCTATTGCAGACTGAGCACACTGCCCTGCCTGATCGAATTTGTGATCAGTCAGACTCGCATTGGTCTTCCTCAGTTGGAAACCTATAGCATGCTAACTGCTGTCACACACACACAGATCTCTACTATCGTTGATGCTGCCGTTGGGCGTGTGGTAAGCGATCTTGGCCTTGTCCTGGTTCGGCTCTTGCGCCAACCATTGCTTGACAGGCAACACCTTGTTGTCCAGCATCACTTGGTCGCTGCCGGATGTGATGACAAACTCAAGCTCTGTATCCTTGACTTTGTCAGCGGAATTCGAGGTCATGTCCACCTGTCGGTACTTGCCCTTGGCGAAACCAGCCAGGATGCTGTTCGCAGTGAAGAAAACCTACCCACAGGATGGATGAAATCACGAGGGACGAAATATCTCGGTGCTCACAGCCCTAAAACCTAAACTTGAAGAGACCACCCACAAAGAGCCTCACCCTTGCTGCCATTCTTCAAGTAAACCCCAGAAGGCATGACCAGAAGCATGGGCGGCTCAGTGCTGCCCTCCTCCACTTTCACAGAGATCACGTGGGCACATGCGATCACAGCTTCGTCGGGAAGCTCACTCACAGGTTTCCCCACTCTGAGTTTCTTGGCAGCGGGGCCTGAACTGGTTTCCTCACCAGCCCGCTTCCTGCTCAGGTCCCCCTTCGGGATGCCCAGCATGTCTGACAAACTGTCATGGAACTGGCGGAAGCGCTCGCCAAAAAGATGGTGATGGTAGTACGTCTTGATGGTTTCCTCCGTGAGGACCGGGTGGTACTCCTCCCCAACCTGTGGGAAAAGGCTTTCAGAGACTTCGAAAATACAAGCACAAAGCCCCGCCTTCTTCTTTCCAAGTCTCTGAAACGTAGGGAAGTCGGGTGCACTGCTCTTCTTGTCCGTGGGCATCTCTTTGGGCAACCTCATTGAACGAAGCATGTTTATCTTTATTATGTCTTGGGCATGTGGAATCCAAGATCAACTATCAAGAAGAACACATGCTGCTATGGGGCCTCGTGTACCCACTGATCTTCAGTGTGCCTTCCTTGAAGGCAGTGATCAGTTCACCGGCAACTCGCTTTTGGAGCCATTCCAGGTGGGAGTCATCCTGGGCGACCACAGTCAGGTGCATGTAGGTGCTCGTGTTCACCTGAAACTCCGGGAATGCCTTGGCTCACCAAATTCAAAGTCTCACAATACGGCTGATGCCAGGCACAGCCGAAAATTCATTTGAGCTGCCAAGACGACATCCCCATGCATGGGGAAAATATCCACCAGCCAAATGCCGGATCTGTTGGTGAACTGGGTCCCTTCCTGTGTCAGTATACACGCAGACGACACAACAATTACGAGTATCATATCCTGATTAGTATGGCAATCCAAGTCTCGAGCAACTGCGTGAACAGGGCTTTGGCCGCCGGTGCACCGATTTGACAGTACTTGGCCGCACCTCGAACTCTGTCGTCGGTTTCCGCCGGGAGGTCCACGTCGTTCTGGGTCTCAATCGCGACCATGTCTCGAGCAGGCATCAGGGGCCCTGCTGCTGCTTCCTCTGTCTGGAACAAAGCCGAACTCTTCCAGAACTTCTGGTTCTCGGCAGCGGCTGAGCTGACCAAGTGGCCTGGATACCGTAGGGGACGTTCGTCCCGGGCATCCTCAGACAGAGCAGAGCGAGCAATTTTACTTCAAAGTCGACATATGTCCATGCTGACTTCATGCATGCTGGTGGCTGCTCGCTTCGAGAAGGCCAGGTAGTACTTCTTATCCACGTCCATGGTTCCGAAAGAAGTCAACTGCTTCAGCACTGTGTACGCTTCACTGAATACAGAGTTGCGCTTGTAGGCGAAAGCAGGGCCCAAAGTCACTCCGATCCCGAGTGGGTGTGTCGCCACCAAGTTTCCTAACACTTTGTAGCCCGCACTCTGAAGGTTCGACGGTATCATGCTCAAGCTGCAAATGTTGCAGAAGCCGACGGGGACCTCATGAGCAAGAAAGCTACGGAACATCACTTCAAGGGCACTGTCCATCTACAGCCACTGTGATTGACAAGCTACCAATCCCATTGGTGGCAGTTGCAGCTGCTGCTCCATCTTGCTTCGCTCGGTGGTGATCTGGGTCAACAGCAGGGCTGCTGCATCGCGATGCTTGCTCCATGTCAGGAACGTGACCTTGCTTGTTAAAGCGATTGAGGAGAATGCGCAGAAGAATGGTTCACAGGTGTCTCACTTGCGATGAAGCAGTAACTAACGATAAAGCACCGCACATTCTTGTCCAAGAAAGATTGCACAGCATGCGAAGATTCATCCCAGACCTTCTTCTTCCAACATGCGGTTTCGTGCTCAACTTTCACCCGCCAGCTCATGATCGCAGACTGGTAAACCTTCCACGTCTCCACATCCAGACTGAGCTCTTCCATGAGCAAGTTGAACTTGGATTCTTGGATGTGCTGCTCCTTCTCATCCAGCTGCGCGGAAGCGATGTGGCTGACAGGCCGTGAACCGGCGCAAGAGTCCATGATGGCTTTCAAGCCTCAGAAATCACACCAACCTGCAAGTTCATGCCATGCACTCTCACAAGGACATGCACAAACACAGACAAGTCCTGCCAAAAAACTGGGATTGTCTCGAAGGGCGTAGCTCTCACTCTTCTCGCTCAGCGCTGCTGCAATCTCCATCTCTGCACCATTGTCGCCCTGGGCAAACCTCTGGAGCCACCTCGAATCATTCCCATAAATGCCGGTGCTTTGACACCCATGCAGACCGACGCACGCATACACGAACACACACGTGACGCACACACACACACACACAGTTGATAAGCAAAAGAGTAGCCTTGCAAACAAGAAACTCCTCGACTTGGGTCTCACAGTTGGGGGTCGACCTCAGCATTTCCTCTGCCATCTGGACTGCACAAGCACATACTTCAGCTTTGTCCTCGACTGCGGACTTCGGCAACTTCACGCGGACTGCGGATGCACTGTGCTGGCTGCAGATCAAGTCTATGAACAGGTTGAATGAGGTTTCCGTGACCTGTCCCCGGGTGAACCATGGTGACGACTTCGGAATCCTGGATGTCCTAAACGTCGAGCCGGGGTAGATTTTCTTCGATGACAAGGAGTCATCCGTGAATGGGCAGGCCTCCCATCCGTAAAGCGACACACACGCCTGGATCTTCTGCAAAAGCTCCAGCTTGAGGCCGAGCAGCAGGGTTACCACCATGCTTTTTCGACCGGTCACCTGGTCACTCTTCGGCGCAGTGCTGTTCCAGGAACGAAGAATGTCTTCTGGATTCGTCGTGTTCAGGCTGCGCAGCCCATACACGAAGGATAGCGCTGATGGTGCCTTTCGGATGGCACCACGGTTCGAAGCACCGAGGTTGTAGAACCTCAAGTGAAAAGCATGTCTGTATCTATGTGTATGGCTGCAGGTATGCATATGCATGAATGCATGCATATGCATACCAATGAAACTCAAATTTCACATTGACTGGGCCCTTCACAGCCGTTCCTTGGCCGAGCTGAACGAATGGCATCTGCAGTGGATGTCACCCACGGTCATCCACAGCTTGGGCACCTTGAATCAATCCCCAAGCCATCGTCAAACAAAGCGGTAAACAGAAGGTTCCTTTCTTTCATGAATGTGAGAAGTACACGACACACTGTCGTCGAGTTGCAAAGTCCTGCAGCACCACTGTGTGCTTGTAGCAGTACCACAAAAAGGCGAGCAAGGTCAGGCTGCGTCCCTGGCTTTTTGTGTGTCCCACTGAGAAGTTGGCCAACTTCTCATCCGAGGAAGGGTTCTCCATGTGAACCACGAGGGGCTCCTGTTTGGTTAGGAATCCTTCCACGACGATTCGCTGCCACAAGGACACAGACATCTGTAGAGCGGGTGGTTCACGAAGGCTGGAGTCATTCGAGAATCCAAACTTCCAGAAGTCCAGCTTGAAGACCGGGGTATCACACTCCGGTGCAAATGCCGGCCAAGGTCCTTCGCATTGTGTAGTCGGGGAGTTGGCGGGCAGCTGTTCTTGGATGTACTTCGCGAAAGCGCATTGGGACGTCTGGGTATTCAAGTGAGACTGAAGATATTGCCTTACTCCGCCGTATGGCTTGACATCGGCCAGCAGATTCGCTAGGAAGAGATCGGTCGCCACCGCGCTCGGGCTTTCATCTGCAGTGATCATCGGCACAGCACTTTCAACTTCGCTTGCCACGCCACTTTCGCCTGTCACTGTACTGGGCGGGGGCATGGACTCACCAGCCTCGCTGGCACCATCCTGCATGGCGACCCTCGAGGATCCACCGTCCGACTTCACCAAAAACCGTTGCATGCCGCACTGGGCAACTGGACCCGCAGCTGAGATCTTGCAAAACACAAACCGTAGAAGCTTCAAGCTGGATGCACCGTTCACAAAGAATGCTGCTGTTGCTGCTGCTTTTCGAATCATTTCTAGCCTCGAAGCAGCCGTCCGAAGGATGGGCTTTCCAGAACTGGGTGGGTCGAACCGACCCGATCTAAGGAGCACGATTTCCAACATCGAGATCGGCAGGCTTCCATGGAAACCGGCCGTTCCCCCCCCAACCGGTCTGCGACCGGCAATCTCTGTGTTAAGATTTCGGCTGACGACTTCGGCGGATGTAGCTCCCGTGCTGGGAGATCGGCCCGTTTCCATGGAAACCGGTCGATCTCCCGATCCGATTTTCGTGTTGGGAGATCGGCCCCCAGTCCCTCTAAGCAAAATTAAGCTGCAGAAATCCAATCATTCCGTTCCTGCAGGATGGCACCTACCATAGCTGTCACCAACTCAGGTGGGTAAACTTGGCACCACCGGCTTAACCTGTGGCCCTGATCATTACCTGAAATTTTCTGGTGGGTCTTGTGCCTACCGTTGCAGAAATGTCCATGCAAAGCCTCCTTCATTCGCTTGGAGTTCGTCAGAAACCTAGTTCTTTTCATGATTGGCACTCCGCTGGGCGACTTCATTCCGAAGGCACACATATCGAACTCGACGGTGTGCGGGCTCTGGAGATCCTTCACCTGGACAGTCTGGGTGCTGTTCCACACATCCTCTTGTTATGTGCTTGTCAGCTAGCATTCAACTTTCACTTGCCGGGTTACACAAGGTCGCCGCCACATCTGCGACACCGAAGGGTGCTCTAGGGAGTAGAACCCACCTGTCTCCTTCTGGATCTCGGCCACCCATGAACTGACATCCACATGATGAAGTCCTTCCTTCAGGTCACGCAGCCTCTTCTCGAAATCGCCACGTGTCCAATTGGAGTTACTGAGCGAGGACAAGTGTGTGCAAGGAGGACATGCATGAACAAAGAAGGGGCGATGCTTGTACTGGTCCTGCACCAAGCTCCTCTGCTCGCTCTCCAACAAGAGGTTCCATCCGGTCTTCAAGTCATAAGCTCGACTGTGACTGTAGCCTTTGTCACTGAGGATATTGATGAGGCGGGGTGGGCTGTAGATCTCCCAGAGAAGGTCGCAGCCGGACAAATCTCCGGAAACCATTGCCATTTCGTCAGGCACGAGATCACTGTGGGGCAGAACAGGCCTGAGTGTATCTTCGTAACGTCAGCAACTACCTCGTGCAAATGACTGTCACCACAAATCACAGTGCATTGCAAAAGGTAAGTCTGGAACTGTCCGACATGCTCATCACAGCATTCGTTCATGGAGGGTCTGGAATCCTTCTTCTCTTTCTTCTTGGACTTGTCTCCTTTAGTCTCTGTGCACACTTTGCGCTTTCCCGTCTCCCTGGCAGCCTTCGCTTTCTGCTTCGGTTTCGGCTTGCTCGGCGGGGCTGTCTCGATTGTCATGGGCTCCGTATCGCTCGGGAGGCCATCGTCTAGCGAGCTTGCCATCCCAACAAAGACAGGCAGATGCACACACACACACACACACGGAGACTCCTGAGAAGCTGCAGATAAAGACACTTGCTGTCACTGCTGTGGCACGGCTGAGGATCCAAGGATTGAAAGCACTCTGATGCTTCGTGAATTGCTCTTGAAACACGAGGCAATTCTAAGCGCACATTGTTCAGGCAGCCCCGGGAGTGCACGAGATTGTAATCGAGATCACTCGATTGCAGACTGCAGAAGCATTGCCAGCTCTAGCCAGCTATCACTTCAGAACCCACAGACATGACGGACAGGGGCACGACATTGCAATGTATTCACAGTCTCTCCTGTCTATGGTGTATGTGCACCCCTGTCACTTCATGAACCCTGCAGCTGGAAGCTGCGCCGTCAGAGACTTGATGCGATCGGTCTATCAAGGGGCACCGGCTTGACCACGGCCGCGACCGCGACCTCGACCTCTTGGCCTGTAATTCGAGCTTCTGCACTGTGCACAGCCCTTCACCGAGTGTCTGCACTTGGAGCACCCCAGAACTGGGGCTGCAGGTGGCAGATCCTCAGCCCTTTCTGGTACTGCCGGCACTTCAACTGGGCGGGGCCTCTTGTTGTTTTGATCGTCCTTCTGAGACTTCCTCTTCTGCTTAGGCTTGGCAGGCTGCTCGGGCACAGCATTCAAGATCGTGACTGGACGGGGTGTTCCCGGACCATACTTCTGCCACCTTGCTTGCACGAGAATAGCACAAAGACCAGCAGACAAGGTACCCGACAAAGACAGCCACAGCAGACAAGGTACCCTTCGGGGCAGCCCGCTGCAAGTAGCGAGCGAACAGGCTCACTCGGAGATGCCCATCTTGGAACAGACGGAGCAGGGCGTGGGCCGTGGTCACATTCTGTCGTGTTGCTTTCCTTATAGCTTCATGGGAGACACAGAAAAATGCTAACAGTGACACCATGTGACACAGCATGTGCAATCACTGCGTCCTAGACACCACCAGACCGCGCAAGTACGCTGAGGCTTGGTAAAAAAACCACGGCTCCATCGACACACTCGCAGCTGTCTTCAGGAACCTGAGAAATGCACAGGATGGGAAACAACAGAACATCACGCTTGCAATCAAGGTGTGAAGAAAATAAGTCTCCGTCTCCTGCGCTTCCCGTTGTGACAGCCGCTTCTTGATCTGCGTGCGCAACGTCGTAGGATCCAAAGAATCAGCAATCTTCTTCGGAAGTAGAACCATCGGGGCTTGACTCAGGCTGTCTGAGCAAGTCCATTCCTTGACCATGAGGATAACATCCAACGGGTCAGGCTCCACATTGGAGTAGCAGCTCTGCAACTCCCAAGTGTCAGGTGTGTCGTAGCCGGGGAGGTCCTGTGACAGTTCATGCTTTGATGAAGGTTATGACACCAAGGCAGAAACGGTATGCCAGTATGCACACTGCACTAACTGGATCATGTGCAATCCTTTCGAAGGCACAATCTCCAGGAATGGTTCGTGTGCATCGCATTCTGGCCCTGGGGATTCGGCACCAATCCACCGATAGAGCAGGGCAAACGGTTGATGTACTCCTTGAAGTCCAGGCTCTGGTCCCAGAGCTTGACAATCAGCTTCCGATTCTTGCCGGGACGCAGGTTCTGCCGGATGCACTCGGCCACATCCTCACGACATGTGATGCAAACACACTGCCATTGGCCATTCAAGTCATGCTTCGGTCAGTCCTGGGGTGTCTGTAAGACACTTTGTCGCTTGTCGAGGGCGCCAAACATCACCGAAAAGCGCTGGTCGAGATAATTGTGGGTGTGTCCCACTCCACCGAACAAATGACTCACTGATCGAAACCTCAGGTACAACAACATATTATGAACATCTCAGTTCGGTCTGCAGGGAATAAGACTGACCAATCTCAATGCCCCGTGGCTTGCTCTGGGTGAGCAACAGCGCCTCCGCCTTTAAGACGATCTGATTTTTGCCTTCTCGGCAACAGTTGTCTGTCTGCACAGGGATGCGAGGACTTGCGATTTTGGACAGTTGATCACGAAACATGTTCATTGGAAAGTCCATCCCAGCTAGAGGCCTCCAATGCTAAGCATGGAGGCATGTCAATGTCCTTGTCACGCAAGATGGATTCCGTGGTCTGCAAGACATCGTACAGTAGGGATACCTCCGTGCTGCTGTCCTTCATCACGTCCGGGGAGACCAGGTAATAGATCTCAGCAACCTGAGCGGTTCCAGGTAGAAATCAATTCGGTAGTTATCTCACGCAACACAGCACCCTGCAAGCCATCCCACAGTGCTTGGATAAGCAGCTCCATGTACCAGAGCTCCCATGACATGCAGCTGTGCACGCCAGAGGGACGACAGGAACTTGTTGTTGTCGAGACCTCTGGGGAGAAGTGTCTTGCTTTGATCTGCACCATCGAGGTCGACCTTCAAGATCCCGCTCGGATCAGAGATCCCCGGTCTGCCAGTCGACTCCTCACTGAGGTGGTTGAGCCTCGTACACAAGGTCCGATGCGACATGACTTCATTGATGTGCTGCTGTTGGGCCCTTTGCAAGGGGATCTTGTCGGCCTCTGCCAGAGCATTCTTAATCCTCTGGGAGAATCGAGAACAGGTGGCACACCTCGAAATGCACAACACGACGACTGTCCCATCCATGACGACTGTTCCAGCAGACTCAAAGCCAATCTAAGTTGCAAACCGCGCATGCTGCGAAGTTTTCCGGATGCGAATCAGCTTGCTCCAAGTAGTGCTGAGCTTCGAGGAAACGACTCTGCAAAACGTCCTGTAGGATGCCGGCAGCTCTTCATCACTCTTGCCGGAGAGATACAGCTGGTAGTGTGCATACATGCACTCGTAACTTTGGTGTGGGATCCACTTCGGCTGTCTGCAGGCGGTGCCTGCGGGTCTTTCTAGACTCTCGAGCTGGGATCCAACGATTGTGATAACAACAAGATACCAAGTACTTTGATTGCCTTCTCCAGTATCTGCAGCAGCGAGTGCCACTGGATCGGATTCCAGGAACAAAGCTTCCTGCACACCCTCCTCGTCCGGAAGCAGCACGAGGTCTTCGAGGGAACCACCTATCCAAACGTGGCAGCACTCAAAAAGTACTCAGCACTTCCCAAACCTCAGAAATGGCCTTGGAGCAGCTTGGAAGCACTGACATACATGTCCTTCAGGTAAGGGTCGTTCTCCAAGTCCACGGTTTGCTCGGCTAGAGGCTCTGCGATGTGCACATAAATGAAATGGAGATAGGCGTCGATGGACTCAGACTTGGGCGCCAGAGCATCGGCCGTTCTTGCACCCGAAGTGCGCAGGTCCGGTGGCAGCAACCCCTTGCCAACACTGGGAAGAAGTCTCTTGACCTAAGTCTGAAAATGAGCAGATGCCATGAAGGCCATGGGTAATGAGCATTGGTTGGGGCTGGCTGCTGAAAAGAGGCTCTCTTATAGTTGACGTTCATCAGCTTCGCGAATGCATGCGAGCAGATGTGCTCGCCAACGAGTTGGTATCGCAAGTTGCCATTGCTGTCCTTATCACTCCGGGAAACAGGCATCGGCAACAACTAAAACTTCTGCCCACCTGTATCTTCTTGCTGTTATTGCTCGCCTGGGCACAACCGGGCAAAGGCTCATGATGTTGAGCAGGAACCTGTTCTTTTCTTCCTCGTTGTATTTCTCTGTCTTCTTCAAGAGGTTCTGGAGCTTGCCCCGATGCTTGAATGCATCCAAGCAGTTCTTCGAGCAGCAAGAATTGCAGCAAGAATCAGTCGCTGGATCCACGGTCCTTGCATGTAGGCACTGGAGAAGTGCAAACACTGAAGAAGTGCAGGCACTCAAGAAGTGCAAGGACACAAACGAAGCATGATATGCTGGGCTCATATCCCGAAGAACCGCCGAGAAGCTTCGCCGGTGGGGTGTTGCTCGATGTACGAAGAGGCGCAGCCACAGGTCGAAACTTGACCTCTTGCAAGGGAGCCTTCAGCACCACACCACATTCATCATCTGAAGGCAGATCCGCCATGGCACTGGATCTTCACTTCTCAACCCTGTGAGGCAAAATGCTTCTGAATCAGAAGGATTTCAGCCACTGCAGCACCAAAACAAGGGTCCCTATATCAATCTTTGCCAATCATCAGATGAGCTTTCTTCGTCAGCACAGAAGCCGGGTCGCAGACCTCCCAGGGACTCATCCACCTGACACGTGGAAATTGCAACGTCACCAATTATCTTCGCATGTCAATTCAATGTCTCTGAGACACCGACTTGACAATGACAGATACATTTACAGTCTGCACCTGCCCTCTGCCCTTGTCTAGCAGCAGAGAAGCTCACGGTGATATGTACATATCTGCCTCTACCTTGTCTGTACGTGTCACATGACAATCACACGTTTACAACATGACAAAAAGAGAGGATGTGGGGTCGGGTACCTAATGGGGATTGCACTTAAAGCCAAATTCATGTGCAATGCTTGAATAATGTCGGTGCCTTGCACTTCTTCAGTGCCTGCACTTCTTCAGTGCCTGCACTTCTTCAGTGCCTGCACTTCTTCAGTGCCTGCACTTCTTCAGTGCCTGCCTTTCTCCAGTGTCTGCACTTATCTAGTGTCTTCAATACTTAAATATGCCTTCAGTAGGCAAGCTTGGATCGGTGTATTCCAAAGAACGTATTCTATACCTGTCCACCAAGAATATTTAACAGTCTGGATTCAATGTTGTGGAAGTACGTGCTGACATGTAAGAACTTAGGCCGCGGCGGGTCGGATGAGAAGCTCCATGTTTAGCAGGATCCTGAGCGACATGTCGGTGTCGCCACTGGTTCATAGCCCCGGTTCATAGCCCCAAAGAATGAATTTCAGAAATAGGCAGATTAGAGCTTCATGATTGAAAATCTGTAACTAGAATGATTGTGGGCATGCGTGCTCGTTCTGTCTCTTGACTCGCAGGACAGCAGGTGCTGTCCTGCGAAAGAAGGCACTGAAGAAGTGCTCATGCACTATTTG